ATTATAGTACGGAACCGAATAGAACCGAACCGAACCGAACCCGAACGGTTCCAAAATTATATTTGGAACCGACGGTTCCATTTACTAAAGAACCGAAAATTTCTGGAACCGAAAAAAACCGAACCAAACCAATCTGAACCGACCCGCGCCCACCCCTAGACCTTAGCCAGATTTAGCATACAAGAGGTAAAACAACATATGCTGCAGTTATCAGATCAAGTATTCATTTGAAATTCAAAAATTAGTCACAAATATAAAGATGGTCTATCTATTCAACTTCAAGAGTTTAAAAAAAATCCTTGGGAGCTTATAAAATAATAACTATTACAACATGATGATACAATTTTACCCAAATTAATGCTACAACACGACTCAGTCTAAAGAATGCATATAAGATTTTCTAAGCTGCTCTATCAGGAAACAAGTAAATGTTTCATATGCAGTATTAGATGATAACCATGGACAATATTTTTCAGTTTTTATTTCCTTAAATCTGTTCAATGTTGTCTAAGCCAATCTCAACAAACAATGTCATAAAGTCCCCCCGCCCCTAAAAGTCGTGCCCAGTTTTGCCAGGCAATGAAACTTGTAATCAAATTAACGTGACTCCAAATAGCAATGTTCCCCTGTTACCTTGATGTAAGCTATGAACCATTCAACACAAGCTATTTCTTGTTTCTCATCCTTGCTGAATTGGACAACTTTAGCTAAGAGTTCAAAGCTTCATCTCTTTGGCGAGGCTTGTAATGTCAGGAATAATACCGCCATTCTGATTTCTTATCGCACCACTTCCTACGAGATCATTCAATATATCAGCTGGATCTTTGGCTCCACCATGCTGTAAGAACTTTGTTCTAAGAGAAGATCCTGTGGCTAGTGATAATGGATCTTGTTGACATAGTTTTTGCCATATTGTTGCAGCAAAGCATTTTGCATACAAGTAGCTATAGTAACCTGCGTATATGAAGCAGGAATATCGAACCAACATCCCCCATAAATTTCAATAAATTATTAATCAGTTTGGACAATCACATGTTAACATGACAATGCCTCCTTGTAAAGCATATAATTATTTTCTTTAACATGATAGCGTATCAAAGTGAATTAGATATATGAAAAGAGATAAAGAGAAATCAGTAAACCTATTGGCAAGCAAAACTGCATAGTCATTTAAAGCATGGGGTTAACAAGGTACTCTTGCCTCTCAAGTAATTATTTTTAGTTTCAATATATTTGCATACTGTCAATTTATCTCCTTTTTCCTCATCTACAAAAGTATTTTAGATAAATCAATATTTACTAGATATTTTGGAGTTAGACATACGCAAATATCCATACCTGCTCCGTAAGTAACAAGATGGCTGAATCGGGCGTGCCAGTGTGTTCCTTCTACGTACTTCCAACAGGTATGTTCTCTTCTCAAGTCTGCAACTATAGATGATGTGTCCCTCGTCGAGGATAGCTGTGCTCCATGAAGCGTTTGGTCAATCAAGGCATATAAGATCTGATAAAAGAGGTAGGGAAAAAAAGCATTTAAGATTCACATTGAGTTGAGCCATTTATTATTAAAGTAGAGAACGCTTATAAACGTATTTAATGTGTGTTCTCTTGGACAGCAAACCTGGCGTTGCAACTCAATCGCAGCAAACATATTTTTCGCTCCTAGCATTGACTTTACCAAGTCTTCAGGTATTGGATCGCCTGTTGAATAATGCTTAGCAAATTTCCTCAAGAAACGATAATCCCATGAATAGTACCTGTCCATGACCAGGAAGAAAAATCACATGAATACTTAAGCTATGACTTCAATTTTTTGCACCAGTTTGAGGTGTGAAAATTGATGAGTGCAATATAAAAGAATAGCGTGAATTTTTTTCTTCTTCTGTTACTGCTTTGACTAACCACGAGACCATGTTACTTGAGAACAATACTAAGCACAAAAAGAAAAAGTCATATTCTTTTATTCTTATAATTTATGCAGCATTTTTAAGCATGTAGAGTCAACAGTACTCACTCAAAGAGGTTTGAAGGCGTTTCAGCAAAATCAAGGACCACCCTGGTTCCTGAAAAATGTTGGTAATCCTGAAACGGAATTCATTCGGAGAAATTTACATCATGGCCATTCAAATAATGGCAATGTCCATGATTAGCTTAAATGTAGCATTTTACCGTTCTTGAAAGCAATGAATGAAGAGCGTGTCCAAACTCATGAAAGAGTGTTTCTACATCCGAATGGTGAAGCATCACTGATGTGAAATTTGAGCCTGAGAAGTTGCAAACAAGGGCTACAATCTGCATTTCATGAAGTGAAAATCTTTACCATAAGGAAGCACAAGAATAAGGAACAGGCAGAAATCTTTTGTCGTACTGGCAATTGGTACTCTGTTTCTGAGATTCGACGCCCTCCCTTGATAGCAAAATGTGCAAAAATAGGATGCTTATGCTCTCTTGATTTCAAATCAAGGTACAAATATCCCAAATCACCCTGCATCATGGGATATAATGAAACAGTTCAAAGGACAATGTTCAAAATTAGTTGATGTAAGTTCTGATGTGCACTAATGTCCAAAGTGGCTATAATTGTTATTAAACACGATTGCAGCTAAAATATTTGCTGCTTCAAAATTCTTATAACCCCATAATGAAAGATGAAATAGGTTAATACTGCAGTTCTGGGAAACAGTATACATAAGATAAACGAGCAGTAGTTCTGGACTTGGTATTACTTGTCCATTCTCAACCAAATTACTCAATAAAGATTTACCCACTAGGAAAGATTAGACAACTCTCTTCATTCTGCATGCGTGTGATGCAATCAGCAAAAAAGCACATGAAAAAAGACGAATAAATTACACTTGCACGCTCTAAAACTATAATATAAAGCAATTCGTGAAGCTGGCAGGCATTTACCTTTAACACTCCAAATATAAAATCCAACCACTCTCCAAGAAAAGAGTGTGGTTGATGGAGCTCAGAACTTCACTATTTACAAGATTCACAGTTGAAATTCCATAAGCATATGTGATTTTAATGAAAGCATCCTAAAGCATGCAACTATTCCATGTAAATAACGATAGCACAGTCCTCTTTTTTCTCTTCCCTATAGAATCGGTAGGGGACAGGGTAGTTTCCATAACTTAAATCAAAAACTCTCACGTACGCACCTCATCAGGATGATGTAGAGATAATTTGAGCACATCTGGATGCCATGATTCACCAGGGGCAAGAGGAGTCTCATGACACTTCACGTGAAACAAGGACTCAGCCAACATTTTTAAGCCCTCAATACATTGTGGCAAAGAAAAGTATGAAGCCACAACCTGCAAAATTTGCACAGGAGTTATTATTAAATCTTAAAAAGACTGAAGGAAAGAAACAAATTATACAGCCAAAATAGACATGAGGATTCTCAATAAGAGCAAGTTTCTGACAGAAAAATGTTTTGATAATTGCCTTTTAAGAAAGTGAAGATATGCATGAGTTCATAATTTAAATTCCTGGAAACAAAGAGAATGAATTCCAGTCTATTCTGGATGTCCTTTTATTATCGCCAAGATTCTTCTTTTGTCCCTGGAGCCAAGGGATGAGATGAGCAGTGAGCTAGGGTAATGACTACTCGAGGAAATTAGTCTTAAATTGCCCTGGCTTCTGGAAAAATGGAGAGAATAACCTCAGGGTTCTAACCTTGAGTTGCAGAAATCATTTCCCTTCCACCTGTGTAGCAGTGTAGGCTTTCTTCACATAGGCTACACTAACACAAACCAGGATCTGCTCGCTTCCCCTTCCTCCGGGACCTTCCTGGATTACGGGACTCTTTTGTTTGCTGTTCATGCGAGATGTATGTCACTGATTTGTTGGGGGTTTATTCTTGGCATTTTTATTGGACTCATATCAGACCCTAAGGGTTTAGGGTCTGATATGAGTGGAGGCTGTCTAAGGCCTTCAGCTCGCTATGCTCAATCTCTATATGCATCTTTTTAAGTCCCTCCCCTCAGATGAGGAATTGTCAGTTATGGAATTGATTCAATTGAATAATGATGGCTCTCTCTGTTATCTTGGCAATCAATATGTGCCAAGTTAACCAAATTAGTTTCCGGGGCCTCAGGCGGCCAGTTCAAAGATTCTGGAAGACTCAAAGTGAGCGTTTCATAATTTTCTCCTTGTTGCCTTTGGCTTGACTTTCTTTACGAATATTTCAAAAGTTTCAGTTGTATCCAATGACAAATGAGTGAGAAGTAATGGCCTCAATTGAAATTATTATATGCCCTCTTTTTCTGGATGCAGAAAGAAGAGAGAGAGAGGACAGAATGGAATCAGCGCAATACAGAAAATGCGGGAGCCTCCATTGATTGAGTACCAGGATAACACAAGTATTCTTCCGCATATAGGTTTAATTCTTGGAGAAACAAGCATATAATTGGATTTCATAATCCTTCATTGAGTTACAAAATTATGTTATACTCTATCAATGAGACAATCAATGACTCCAAAGTACTAATTAATCAAGCAGATAGTCGAAACTGTAAATAATTATTGACTACATAAAAATATTCAAATTAATAACAATGCATCATGTGTGCGCATGCGCGTGCTTCAGTACCATCACAACCAATCTCAACAAGAAACGAAGTACTGGAAGTGCAAATTTACCGAGTTGTTGAAATTATGGGCAGAAGACTTCATCAATCTTGTGAAGTAAACCTCATCCCATGGCTCTAACCCTTCATCTAATTGACCACTTTTTTCTCTCTTAAAATCCAATATTTTTTTGAACTCCTACAGTAATAGTACCACAAAGCTGTGAACAAACATAATAGAGCCTGCGGCAGAAATAGATAGGTTACCAATATTTCATTTCTCAACCTTACACTTCACTTAATATCATACCTCCTCAGCCTTGGGCCTGACCATTTTGCTCATATCATGCAGAAAGGGAAGCACAACTTCGGGTGATGAAGCCATATTATCTTTCAGAGCAAATTGAGCATAAGATTTATACCCCACAATCTGCACAGATACACTATATGGCACATTAAAAGTGGGCAATACTATATCAAGGAAGTTCAAGATCTATTCTCTTCGTGCATTGAGTGTATACAAGTTCATGAAAGTTGTGCATGGTCCGCATGGGTCCCAGTGATCATATTACAGGGTTTTGAGAATGACAATGAGTTCAGGATTTTACATGACAAGTTATAGTGATAACAAGTAAAGACATGCAAGAAAAGAATAGTGAGTAAAAAAACTGTTCTTACTAAAGGAAATAGAGAAAAATTTTAAATAGTGAATATTTAAAATTGAACTTGTACACCATAACCTATGACATGGAGACAAAGGACTTAGAACACGATATAATTCAATTTTGGTTCACATTAAAGCAATCTTTCAGGTCAATTATTATCAGACCATGCTGTTTTCTTGAAGAGAGGATTAGAGGTCTGTAAAAATTACAGCAGCCAGATTTTCAGCTTCATTGTTGTTATTCAAGTCCATGAATTGGAAATGTTGAACCATATTGATTAGAGGTGGCGTTCTCTACATTTGTGGTTCAATTTAGGGACCTAGAGTGTGTGTGTACAACTGTTGTCACTTGTTAAGAAATCAACATTTGAAGTATGAAATGCTAGGTGTTAGATCCTTTGTCTCTTGCTTGTACTTATCCTTATAATCTGACTGATTATAATGCATCATTAAAATTTCATACAATTGAATGAATCATTCTATTTTTTATGTAAAAGGATTATTGGAAAGTCAGTTTCACCCTAGTCAAAGTAAATTATATCAAACCACTCTGTACATAATTAAACATATCATCTCCATTAATGTACTCCATGATGAGAACAAGAATACTAAATCCGAATATTACTTTCTTTTGAAGACACGTGGCATACTAACCTCGGCAAACTCGTGACGAGCAGCAATAAGCTTATCAAGAACCACCAAGTTTGCTCGGGGCACAGAATTTCCTCTGACATAAGCCAGCTTTCTAACCTGGATAAGATTAATATAAAAACACAAAAAGAAATCTATTGAAAAATCAAATATGCTACTTTTCTCAACTGGAGGAAATAAAATTCAGTCTGCCAAAGAAATCTGCTGATCATGTTACAACACACTTCTGTCTAAATTTGAATTGGCACAAAGTTTTAGACGAGTTAAAAAGTTTTCAGTAATTTTTCAATTCAATCTCAAGAATAAAGGCCAAGAATCCTAATTCGTAGCACGATATACTTTTAAGTAAAAGTACTTACGGAAGTAAATACCACAGGAAAAGGATTTTCATGGACATCAAAAAAGGAAATAGGAATGTTCACTTGTAGAAAGACACAGAGGAAGTGTAATCAATACTGATGGATACCAACAAAGAATTGTTAAAATCCTTGCAACCAAACTCCATTTCCTAGCAATTTATATCCAGTCACAAAGTGAGATTGTGTGGCATTTAGTCTTATTGACCAATATTTTGGTATAGAAAGTGAAATCTGTTAAAAACTCTACTTGCTCTGTCCAAAGGAAAACACAAAATCACATTTCAAAGGCAACATTTTCTATTCAAGATAAATAACATCCAAGTCTTACAAGAAGCTACCTCAGCATCCGAAGCTAACTGCAAAATAGAAGACAGAGCATCAGGCTCTGTCACTAAACGAAACCCTCTCTCTTTTTTGTTACCATCCAGCACTGTTGATACCCTTAATTGCCCTGAAGGACGGTAGATGGGCTTGGCGAGATGGTGCAAATTTTTGGGTACACGTGACCCTGGAAATATATCCACGTGACCTGGGTCCGCGATAATATTTTCATTAAACCTGATCAGAAGAAAAAGTCCATGCAAAATAATTTCACAACCAATTAGCCAATCAAATGCCTTCCAAAGTTAAAGAAATAATAGACATAAATGAACTCCCCTAAAATTTGAATCACACAATCACCTTAGGTGGCTTGTAAAGCTCCTTCATCACATACTGATCTAATATAAATATATGTTACAAGGAATAAAGATAGTTTAGCCCTTGATTAACAACCATTATTTCAATACTTCTAATTCTCATACTCATTTTCAGTCACACATTTACACAATAAAATATTTTGTTTGTAAACCCAAAAACCTTTTTCCTACTTTTGAACCACGCATTCTCCAAAAAAAATCAATACTCAAAACTCCATTTTCTCAAAATAATATCCATCAATCAGTGGCTTAATATTATATTAGTTTATGACAATTTCCTAGTTTGACTAAAATTAGGATATTGTTTGATAGGTTTTCTAATTTGATTAGATTAGGGTTTATTTTCTTCCTTCTCAAAATTAGATTTGTTTAGAGTCTATATAGAGAGGGCTTGTGCATTATAATACTAACAACTTTGATATAAAATAAACTTAATATTCTCTCCCTAAAGCTTCTCTATTCTTTCCCTCCTCTCTCTCCATCTTCTCTTCTTTCTCCTCACTCTTTCTCTTTATAAATCTTGTTTTTGTTTGATTATGTTTGTCATAAATTTGATATCAGAGCAAGTCATTTTCCTTTGGCCAAATAATTTTTGTGAAGTTTTGATAGGTGTTCAAGTTCAAGAGTTTATTTCAACCACAACTTCCTCTACCATCCTCCAGAACACTAAAAAGTAAAAATTTCCATAATAGATCATATTCAAACAAAAGTAAAGTAAAAGAACAACAGCAATCAACAAGAAAATCAAATATGCAAAAATATAATATTGTTCATCGATGCTGTTCATCCGAAAAAAAATTCTTTTTTTCCTTTTCTTTTTTGCTGTCGTCATGATTGTCCACCGGAAAGCAAAGGTTTAAGTTAGATTAGTTCTTTTATTATTGCTATTAGTTTTCAATGGAAAAAAAAAGACAAAAAATATAAAAAATGTGAAAAAGTAAAAAATAACTAGAAGTAATGTGATAATATGTACGAGTTCTGTAGCAAGCACGGATTCTCCAATATCCGATTTAGTTGAACGTTCTCACTAGCTTGTGCTCTCAATTTTACTATCGCTTCCTTTACCAACGACAGAGCATCCGATTCTAACATGGGTGGATTGTGCATGTTTACAATAGTTTAGACATTGGGTTGCTCCGTTTTGATTCTTGGTCAAGTATCAATTTTGTTTTACTAGAACTTTACTTTTCATCTAAGTGATTGACGTCATATTAAAAAATATAAAAAAATTCAAAAACAAAAAAACAAAAATGTTGTGGTGTACCCATCAAAAGTTAGGAGACCAATCGTTGACAAATGAAAAATATCTTCTTTGGCCTTCACTCCACTTTTACTTGGACAAATTATGGATTTGTTCTCACAAGTGGACCAATCACCGATTGTTTCCATGGTTACATCTCTTTCTTCACTTACCAAAGCATTAGTCTCCAATAAGCTATTAAAGCATCCATATGTTGCTATACTAGTAGCAGTTGCTTCTTACCTGAGTGAAATATTCCAAATTACTTACTGAATGCCCCATATAGTGACAAGATAATGCATAATATCTTTCTATTAATTATATCATCACTTGTATTACTATTAACAACTCTACAAAATTATATGCTATGGGAGTTAGAATACTTGAAATTATGGCTAATATGGGGTACCGTATCATCATGTTGATCTAGATTGTCAGCAAATGATAATTAACATGTTCCAACATTTTCTTTTAATCCTAAGAAAAACTCGTTTAGGCAATATCTACACATCTATGGAGATAATTATGACCTATATATTAGAAAAAAGTGACAATCTCTTTCCAAACTTGCTTACTCTCCTTTGCATAGCGTGGAAGAAAAATAAGGAGGTTTTTTTGTTGAAATGAATGTTGTAGAAAGAATTTTTGATAAGTGAACTATCAAGATCAAACATTATCACAATCCATAAAAACTGTACGAGCTATGATGCACAGACACTGACATGTGTCTAACACAACACGTATTTTCAAAAAGAGTATTAATACAACACGTTAATTAAATATTTTAAAATTCTTCAAAATTCTTCATTTATTAGTAGAAAATCAATTTTATACTTATTAATTTTTTTGTTGAAATCTTTTAAATACAATTATTTATTTGTTATTTAATAATAAATTTGAGTTAAAAATATATAATATTTCAGATAAAGAAAGAAAAATGACTATGATAAAACGTTTGGATCTGACACGGACATCTATCTTAGTTGAAGTGTCTGTGCAACAGAGCTTAGGAGCTTGTTTCAATAATTATAGTGAAGTTGTCTCCTCCCTTTGTATTAGGTTGAGTTTTCTGAGCCTTTTTGTGATCACCTATAGTCAATACACTTAACACTCACATAATTGGAGAATTACCGATGTCATTGCCACCTAAGCCAAACATTCAATATGTCCTCAACTTCGTGCCAAAATTGTCCTTGTCGACTCCTTTTCGCGACTTTAACATTGACTTGATAGTGCATTAACTCAATTGCATGATAATCCCAATTTGCCACATTGTATTCCAAGGTCACTGTTTGATCACATACTTTTTCTATTGAAATTCAATTGTTGCCGACTAATTGCCGTCATATTATTTAGCTTTGACCTCTATTGTTCATTTTTCTAAATTTCCTGTCAAGATAAAACGTAAAAACTTATTTGAATAATAAAAGTTATAAGATTGCTTTTGATGTACTGTCTAGGCATGGATGCTTTACGTTAAACTTTATGTCTTGTTACGTGTTTCTTTGACACATTTTGTGAAACATATAAAGATAATTTTTATGAAACGCTCACTCAAAATTAATGTATTTGATTGGCCATCGCTTGAATGAATGTTATGTTTTCAATATAGCTGAATTGTTTCATTATCGAGACATATTCAAGTCATCGTTGTTGCAATCATTTGATTATGCAGGTTAGTCTATTATGATTGTCCTTTGTTCTCCTCATTATGTGCAACCAATTGATTTTTTGTGGATAGATTGCACCTTAAGCTACATTTCGGAGTTTGCTATCGGTATTTGATTCATAAGAATGATCGCTTCCTTGTTATGAGTTCAGCCATATGGTGCTGTTAGAGTTCAGTACCAACACTAGGTCAAAACAAAATATGGGCATCCTCGGAGCATAAAGTTGTAGTTTATCTAGTCAGAGTCAAATTATCTCAGCCACGAAAAATGATGGGAATAAATATAGTTTAATAATATTTTAGTTTATTATAGTTTCCTAGTTTGACTAAAATAGTATATTTTTTGATAGGTTTTCCAGTTTGAGTAAATTAGGGTTCATTTACTTTGTTTCCTTCTCAAATTAGATTTGCTTGGACTCCATATAAAGAAGGTGTATGCATTGTAATACTAACAACTTTGATATGATATAAATTTAATATTCTCCCCCTAAATCCTCTCTATTCTCTCCCTCTTTTCTTTCTCAACTCTCTTATCTTCTTTCTTTCTCACTTGTTCTTGCTCGATTATGTTCGTCATTAATATGTGACCCACAAATAACATCATCAGTTGCAGGCACACAAATGCGAAAGGAACTTATTGAACCACTTAAATTTTCCACTCCGTAACTAAATGCATACATAGGAGAACAAGTGAACCAAAAGGGAAAAGTAGAACATGGATTGCAGCTTCTGAATCTCAGTGTCAACATACCATGATTTTACGTAAATGTGAAGATGCTTATTAAACCAGTGAAATGTTTCCTCACCGTCACAAATTAGATACAGAATAACCAATAAACAAAGAACCAAAAGGAGGGTTCAGACATGAATTGTAGCTCCTAAATCTCAGTGTTAGAATACCATGATTTCTAAACCTAGTTGAGATACATGCACTAACGAATGCTTTGGATAAAATTACTGAAGTCTTGAGTTTCAAAAAACTACTCCACTATCCAGAATTTATCAAGCATCTATGGTTTATTGATACAGCTCATGTAAGTAGAACATGACTATGGATATTTATAGGAATCTTCCAGAGATGTCAATAACGGATTATTGAAGGAACAATGAGATAAATGATAGGTTTCAACTAGAATTTTAATAAGGGGAAAATCAAAGATACAGAAGTGAGCTCTTCCTTGTTGGCAACAAGCAAGGATTTAGTGAGTTCAGGAACTGTTTAGTTTGATTTATTTGGGAAGGCAGCTATCAACAGCTTGAGTTCAAATCTGTTCTTTTCGAACAAAATGTAGAAGACAATGCAGCAAAAATAAAGCAAAATAACATAATGTAACCAGAGAAAGAATACTAATATTACTAAAGCAAGATGATAGTACTTCTAACCATTTTTTCCGTCTTATTTCATTACTATGGGATGTTTAAAAGCTAAATATCCTTGTGCTTCAAATATTCAACCAGATCATCGTCTCATTCATGTATATACATGGGCGAAAGATGAACTTCATGAAAGTGCAGCCTTAATTAGTTCCTTTAATAACTTGCATTAGCAGCATAAAACTAGGAGAGCAAAAAAGTAAAGATATTAGGAACATACTCCCTGCACAGCCGAACAATGTCTATGTTTAGTTGATTAACTCGATCCAATTTTTCTGTCAACAAAAGAAGGGATCTTCAACAAAGTGCAAGAGAAAAAGATCATTCAACTAGTTGGAAAAACAATCATTACCAGGGCTGAGATGAATGCCACCCTTCTCCAAGTCAATACGTAGATGACGGGCTGCTCTTTGAGCTTCTTCAGTAAGCAAATGGTGATCCTTCTCGGCTTTTACAACCGCATGATACAAAGTGCAATTCGAATTAAGATACTGCAAACCAGAAGCAACATACTTATAAGCAATATAACAAGGAACCAGGTCCTGCTCTTACAAAAAAAACTTTCTTATCTTATAGCTTTCTCAAGCATGGTTTAGAGCGGGGGAAAAACTTAGGGCCCGTTCTCTTTACCGTTTTCAAGCCGTTTTCTGTTTTCGATTTTTTAAAACAGTGAAAACACATTCTCTTTCCTATTTTCAAAAACGCGTTTTTGAAAACAAGTTAAAAATTTACAAAGAAAACATCGTTTGGTGTTTTCAGTTATAATCAAACCAAAATTTTCAAAACGTGTTTTAGGTGTTTTCAATCACCGCCAACCACCACCGAGAGAGAGGGGAGGGGAAAGTAAACGGGTTCTCCATTTTTTATTTTTGAAAAAAAAAAAATTCAAAATGCCGAAAAGAACACATTTTCAACAATCTCAAAATGGACACTCAAAATACAAAACTCAAAATGAATTCAAAACTCAAAACACAAAACTGAAACACAAAGAGAACTGCCCCTTAATGTCATTCCACTTAGATTATCTTTTTCAAACCAATTAGAAGATGACTTCCAAGGTCCAAAGGTATTCCCATACACTTTGGGTCATATTTATCTACGGTTGACTTCAGCATAAAACAAATTTAGATCCCAGAGCAATCACCATAAGTTCTCTTTGATCTAGAGAGTTCAAGAACTTTATATGTGAGTATGAATATTATATATTCTCATTCTATGTTTTCTGAGCCATAGTTACAAAAGATAATTCAATGAAAATGATATGTAATTGCCAATAGGAACTAAGTAGATAATGGATTAAGAAACCACTTGTCAGCGGTCACCTCACATGTAGATATTCATTTATACGGAGTGACGCATTGCCTGCCTCCTCGACAAATTCCCTGAAAAAAAAAATAATATAGTAATGACCTAAAAGTTGCAAATGCACATATTTCACACCAAAGCAACAGCACTCACCTAGCAGGATGTGTGTGCCTACACAACTCTGCAGAGTCAATAACTGTGCAAACCTACCAATAATCAAACATTTCCATCATTCCTTATCACTGAAAGGTCAGCCATTTATGGAAATTCAAGAATGTCTTGCTTGAGCAGCTCTATTGTTGGGGTGTGGGATTGCCATTGTTACAATTTGGACCAGAACCAATATTCTAACATGTCTATCTCTCTCGTCTAGTTTGGCTGGTCCACACACGAAGCAAGTAGTGCTGTGTGAAGTACTTGCAATTACCACTAGTCCAGAATGGGAACAGTATTATATTCCCTCTTTTGGAGTTTCTAATAAAAAATATTTATTCTACTGTGAATGTTCAATAAGATTAAGTAATATTATATAACTTAATTCATTAGTCTGATGTGATTATGTTATGATCCATTGTGAAAGCTTAAAGCCAGAACAAAAGATAAAGACAACATACTGCATTGGATATTTCATCCATGGCATCGATAATTTCTGGACCTGAAGGCATTCCAGCAATATAATTTACGAGTTCATTAGACCTAGTAAGCACAATAAATCAAAATTGAAAACAATGTTACAAATTTATCCAAATCTTAAAACCGTAAAAAAATAATTTTTTCAAATGTGTCACCGCTCAATAGCATCGTCGACCATTCGTTGAAACCCTTTGGGAGTTTTCAAGTGGTCGAATCCATAGAGACCGGTTTCTCTGATTAATGGAGCTGTGGAGGTGTGTACACAATGACGGGCGGGGCTAAAATACGCCGCTGATCTGCGGATTAGGTTTTGCATAGTGAAAAACAATTTGAATTTAAGCTGAACACAGTAGAGAAGCTGTTGTTTGCAGATGGGGAAGAACGACGCTTATCTATTCAAACTGTGATCAGTCGCGTCTTTACATAAACCCCATAAAAGAAAAATGCCGTGTATTTTTCTGAATTATATAAACTTGATCTCATTTTTCGAAAAATACTTCACAGCAATTATCCTTTATTGCGTTGAGCTATCTTTCTTATATATCTTCTATATATTAAAAGTGGCTATGTAACGGAATTTGTTGTTTTAATGGACTATGCAACGAAATTTCTTGTTTTAAACAGACAGCTACACCTTCTTTCAGTGTTTTTATCATAACTTTATATTCCGATATCCGATTGAGGTGATTTAAAATGTGTTGGAAAGCTAACTCATCTGGCTACAACTTTGATTCAGATATTATTCTCCAATTCAATCACTTTCTATGCCAAAAATAGATCTCAATATAAGACTAAAATATCGGAGCATAACTTTTCGGTTGGAAATTGATTTGTGATCATCTTTTGACTAAATTTGATTCCCTTGACATCTTCCTTTATCCAATTGACTCCGAGCACTCTCAAATTTTCATCGTGAGATTCGGCACAACTTTTAAGTATTTACATTTTAGCCCCCGAACTTTGGATCCCTTACAATTTAGCCATTTCTCCAAATTTGTCTACTTTTGCTTATTTTCTTCAATCTCACCAACCTACATCACAATATCAAAATCACACATCTAATTATTTATCAATTACATAAACATTACATCATTAATTATTTATAGGGTGTCTGTTTCTGCTTTTCAGCAGAAATCAAGCATTTAGCAACACAATTCATGCCGTTGGGAGTCGCAATTTTGGACCAATTCTCTCACTGTAGGGCTGTAGGTTTGAAAAAAAAAATGGTAACATAATCAATTTTCCTTCCTCCTTGCAGCACGTCCAGACACGCCCTTAATTAACCAAAAAAAATTACATCTTTATTAATAACAAATTAATTATTAAACAAAATATTAAATATAAACTAAGCAAACGTGCATTGCACGTTGTTTGCACCTAGTATGTTTAAAATATATTAATGTAGCACAACAAACACGGTAATCTTTTTGCGACAAAAGATTAATATCGTCGGTAATATTATTATAATAAAGAATGTAAAAGAAGAGGGAGAAAAACTTTTTTGTTTTTTTTATAAAAAATGAAAATCAAATTTTCCCAAAAATGTTTGAGCTACATTCTTGAGAATTTTTTTTTTCTTAAATTCATTTTCAACCACATATTTTTTTAATAAAATAATTTTATACGTAAACTAAAAAATTTCCCTAATTTTTAAGCACATATTCTCTAAAAAAAAAGTCGCTATTATAAAATCTAATCTTCCGAAACATAGGGCACAAAGAGACCTTAAGTAACTAGCTAGAATGAGGTGGATAAGTGGTACTATTCGTATGTCTCATCAAGTGTGTAAATAAAAAATAATTTGATCGTAGGTGTGATAACGCTCGGTCAGGCCCATGTAAGCATGAGCCGATTGCAAGGGCTCCTTTTGGCCCATAAACTCGTACGTCTATGCCACAGAATTTTTTTTAAAAAAAATCTCCTTTTTTCAAGTTTGAGATCAACTACTTTTAATGTGTCACAAAGAAGTTATTACGATTACAATATTTTTTAAGAAAATGAATAAAATTAAAGAAAAATAACATACATAATGACAAATTATGATAAACTCGGATAATTTAATTGATCATCTATTTTTTGACATATTTATCTTGGAATCGAAACTATGCATCTTCATAATCATTTAAACACGTTAAAGTCTATAGTATGTCTTATTTGAGTCTTGGTCTATAATTGTCACCTACACTAAAAGCAAACTTTGATGCTACCGTAGTAATTGGGGGTGTTAATAGAATAGATTATGTGTGATAAGGAAAATAATTAGATATTAAACGCTTGTTCGTTCTCAAAAAATATAGTAAATATGATTTTTTTTTGCAGTTATGGGCTCTAAATACTAAGCATGAGTAAAATATTTAGATAATTGTAACGGTATTCCACCTGCACCTATATTCAATGTACTTTATTAAGGGAAAAGGAAGATTCCTACTAGATATTTGGACATTTATCTCATACATTTCACATAAACTACTTTCAAAATTTAGAGCCCATTTGGTAGATATTAAAATCAGATTAAAATTGAAAAATTAGTTGTTATTGTTGACTTTTATTAAACGAGTGGGGCCCAATAACGACTATATTTTCAATTTTAATCGGTACCAAACAGGCTCTAATATATTTGAGATTTGGGTTACAACAATTTTTTGTATCTAAGATTCATTATATAAGATAAAGGAAACAATATAGACAAACTCTCCCAATATTTTCTAAACTTAAGTTCTATTGCTACTATGATAGCACAAATAATGAGTGATATCTCGTGCTTTTTGAAATTTGATGCAATATGATAAAAGTGAGCAAGAACTTTGGGAGTAGTGAGATAGTAAACGCCCGATGGTGCTTTATTGTAGTAAAAAAAAAATGTTAAAAAAATTATCACTTTAAATACAATTTCCCAATCTTTCTTTATAGTAAATGCTCTAGTAAATTATTTTTTGGACCGTGTATGGGTCATGTGTTATAATAAAAAGTAATAAGATTTTCATAGCCTTTATAAGATTTATAGCAAATTTTAAGTTAAGTTTCATCTATGAATATATCAATGACTAATGTTTTGAATTAAATTTCATGTTATTTACAATATTCATCGAAAGCTTATTTTCTATGTAACTTTTTTTTTTTAATTAATATCCCTCACAGGTTAGACGTAAAAGATACAACGTCGCCATGTTTATTGAAATAATTTATTAGCAAATTCTTTTTTATGATAAATAGCATCAGAATGAAGAGTATATTTAGTAATTGTACGTAATTGGGGTGGAGATATTGTTGTATGACTTGGTGAAGTGTATGTTGACCGCTATGCTAAGCAGATGCTCACTACTAGCTACAAATGTGACTATACCTTTGCGTATTGCCTCATTTTAGTAGACTCGGTAAGTGAAGAAGATCATGTACCGGAAGAACCAAATTGAAGTTGAGATTGAGTAGGATCTAAAGCTCCATATTTGACCAAACGGATTTTGAAGTGCCTATTTAGGTGGGTCATTTCAATATTCTTTTGTCAAGATAATCTTTCTTTATAGTCATTGCATATTGCTTTGTAATATGGCTTTCCATTTATTGGACCTGTGATCACCAGTTTGAAGTGTTTCCAACACTTAAAGTGTGTTTCTTCTTCCTCGATGCCATCCAAATCAATTGGATCGGTGTTCACCTCTTCATCACCCAAATTTACGTGAATTCGAATGTTATTAAGACCACTAAAATCGTGATTGAATGGTGGAGATGAAGTGGGAGCGAGAGCACTTTGTGATGTGTTGGAGGCACCAAATATTTTTTTTTCAAACTCATTAGCCTCCAAAAAATTAATGTGATCTATTTGAAATTTGAATAAAATATGAAACGGGAATAAAAATGTATATGTAGATTGAATTACACAATAAAAGAACAAATTGGTAGAATGTAGATTGAATTACAAGAATTAATTGTATAAAAATTGAATTACTATTAGGGCTGTCCGTGGGTCGGTTCGGTTCGATTCTGAAGATACGCGAACCGACCCAAAACTTTCGGGTATTTAATAAATGGACCCGTGAATTACTATTAGGGCTGTCCGTGGGTCGGTTCGGTTCGATTCTGAAGATACGCGAACCGACCCAAAACTTTCGGGTATTTAATAAATGGACCCGTCGGGTCCAAATATAATTATGGAACCGTTCGGGTTCGGTTCCGTTCGGTTCGGTTCGGGTCGGTTCGGTTCCGTTCGGTTCCGTACCATAATTAAATTTTTTAATATTTTCAGCAACACTACATAAATACAATTAATAACATTTCATTCGTAACTTTTACAAATTAACGTAGCCCAATTCAAAAAAATATACAAAACTAGCCGTCCAATAAGATTAATTCAATGCATACAAATACCAAAAAGTAGATATTAATATTACAGCAAAACTACATAAAGTATATTCATTTGCTTCAAATTAAAATGGGCTAATGGATTTTAAAATGATTTGGGCTTAAAAATTAAAATTATGAAATAATCTAATTTATTCAATTAATTTGCTAATTTGTTTAAGAAAAAAATAAAATAATTTAATTAATTCAATATAAAAAATAAAAAAATTATTTAGTTTCGGTTCTTATTCGGTTCTTCGGTTCTTGGTCTAGACCCGAGACCCGACCCAAACCCATCGGTTCTCGATTCGGGTACCCGTTCGGGTATTTAATTTATGAAGAACCGCTCGGTTTGGTTCGGTTCGGTTCGATTCGGGACTTTTGGACACCCCTAATTACTATTATTAAATGAGAAATATGTAATGTATAGAAAGTTGTGATGTGGGAAAAAATGAAGTTGGTATGAAGTATTTATAAAGAAAAAAGTCTCGGAAAAAAAAAAATAGAAATTTGATCATTGGTCAACTATCAGATTTTTTTTTTTTTGAAATGTGACCAATTGTAATGAAAAACGAGCCTGACTTATGGCCCATGCCCACTCGGCGCACTATTTTTTAGGGCTTAGTCTGATTCCGGACTTGTCCCTGTAGGAGCTCGAGTGGTCCATGAGCCGAGCGGTTCAATGTCACGAGTCGTTTGATCCATTTTTCTCCCCTATCCTGTATATAAATAATATGTGAAACACATAATTTAATAAAATCTTTTTTTTTTTCCTTAAAATGAAAGTCTACAAAAATTAAATGAATAGTATAGACTTTTTTTAAATGAAAATCTATACAAATTTATGAAAAACTCTTATTAATATGGAGAAATTTATAGTACTCAATAAAAGTTCCCGAATTCCATGTAAGTCCATAATCTAAAAATATGTAAAAGTCTAAATTGAATGCATCTGCCTAAGTGAATAGATAAAAATGA